GAGCAATAGCACAGTGAGTAGGGCATTTGCCTTGCACATGGCAGACCCAAGTTTAATTCCCAACATCCCATATGGTTCCCTGAACACCGCCAGGAGCAATTCCTGAGTGCAGAACCAGAAATAACCGGGTGTGCAATGCCGGGTTATAACCTAAAAAGCAAAAAAAAAGGTGCTGTCTTGCATGTGGCTGATCCCAACCTCTCTGAGCAGAGCCAGGAGTCTCTCCTGTGCATGGACAACCCTTACCCAACAAAAAAGGTCCAAAAACTGAAGAACAAATAATTTATATATAATGTAGGGGCTGGAAAGAGTACAGCAGGTAAGGCATTTGCATGTAGTCAAACTTTGGGTTTAACTCCACTCCCCAGCATCAAAGGCTATTGTCCCCAAAAACAAAACATATAAAGAAAATAAAATTTTAAAATGTTACAGGCTGGGGCTGGAGCAATTGCCAGCAGGTAGGGCATTTACCTTGTGCGCGGCTGACCCGGGTTCAATCCCCGGCATCCCATATGGTTCCCTGAGCACCGCCAGGTGTAATTACTGAGTGCAAAGCCAGGAGAAACCCCTGAGCACCGCCTGACCAAAAGGCCAAAAAAAAAAAAAAAAAGCCGGTGCCTGAGCAATATATAGCAGGTAGGTTGCCTTCCTTGCACACAACCTAGCTGGGTTTGATCCCTAGCACCCCATATCTGGTCCCCAGAGTCGGACTGGGTATGGTCCAAAACCCAAAGAGGGGGAAAAGATACACTGTACTGATATGAACTCACTCCATCTTGTCGTGTGAGGCCCTGGGTTCCATTCTGGGCACCCATAACCCCAAGATTCCCAGAAATGACCCTTGTGATGTCTGCACAACCCACCAGGTGTGGCCCAGCCAACAACAACAAACTACCACAGAAAAAAAGAAACTAGAGATGAATAAAGTTTCAAAAGTTTTTCAGAGACATAAAATTACTATCTTGAGTTTCCTAAAAATTATCTATTTCTAAGATCTCTATTTTGCTTTTTCACCACCTTCAATTATTAAAAAGTTGTACTACCTGGAGCTGGAGCAATACCACAGCGGGTAAGGTGTTTGCCTTGCATACGGCTGGCAAACCGTATTGACCCTGGGTTCAATTCCCAGCATTCCATATGGTCCCCCAAGCACCAGCAGGAGTAATTCCTGAGTGCATGAGCCAGGAGTAACCCATGTGCATCACCAGGTGTGACCCAGAAAGCAAAAGAAATAAAATAAAATAAAATAAAAAGTTATACTACCTTGGGAGAAAGGTTAGTGACTGCCTGAAGCTGGGGCAGGTACAAGAAATATTAGCAAATAGATTCTTTTGAAATAAAGTCTGCACGAAAGTAATTTTACTAGAAAATGGAATGTACATTAATTAGTAAATTTTACGTGTGAATTCTACATCCCAATAAACTGCTTTAAAATAGCACTGTAGCACTATCCCGTTCATCAATTTGCTCGAGCAGGCCCAGTAACATCTCCACTGTGAGACTTGTTGCTTTAAAATAATGTTCAATTAAAAACAATCGTTTTGTGGGAGACAAGCCCACAAAATACAATTTAAGTCTGTAAATTAAAGTATTCTATCAGTATTGGGGGCTGGAGCTATAGCACAGCGAGTAGGGCGTTTGCCTTGCACGCGGCCGACCCGGGTTCAAGTCCCAGCATCCCATATGGTCCCCGAGCATTGCCAGGAGTAATTCCTGAGTGCATAAGCCAGAAGTAACCCCTGTGCATTGCAAAGAGCAAAAAAATAAATATTCTATCAGTATTAACTTTTCTAATTTTGGTCATTTACTGTTATGTGAGAATGTTCTTGGTTTTGGTAAATATTTAAGGGTTACAGGGCATCACCTCAGGAACCTACACAAATTAAAAAACAAAATCTCAGAAATGAGGAAAAAAGCTAATAGGTAAAATACTAACACGGGGGAATCCGGGCAAAAAGTATTTGAGAATCTAATGCACTACTCTTTCAACTTTTTAAAAATATGATTATGTCAAACTGAAACAATTTTCTTTTTGGGTCACACCCAGCGATACACAGGAGTTACTCCTTGGCTCTGCACTCAAGAGTCACTCCTGCAGGTGCTCAGGGGACCTTATGGGATGCTGGGAATCAAACCCAGTTTGGTCGCGTGCAAGGCAAACGCCCTACCCGCTGTGCTATCTCTCCAGCCCCAACTGAAACAATTTTTAAAAAGAAATATGGAGCTGGAAATAGTACAGGGGTTAAGGTGAAGTCCTTGCAACTGAGCCTGATTTCAGGAGTAAGCCCCAGCACTCCCTCTCCCCGCTCCCCCCCCAAGAAAGAAAGAAAGAAAGAAAGAAAGAAAGAAAGAAAGAAAGAGAGAAAGAAAGAGAGAGAAAGAAAGAGAGAAAGAAAGAAAGAGGAAGGGAAAAACCTATCAATAACGCTGGTTAGTGGAAATAAAGGTTCTTCTTTCCAAAAAAAAACTTAACTTAAAAAAAAAAAAATTCAAAACCAATCTCCTTACGAAGAATAGTGCAAGAGTCAGAAAAGGTTTTAAAAATACATTGCACGGGAAAAAGAAAAAAGAAATATACTGCACGAGGGATGCCTGTCTGCCTTGCATGCGGCTGACCTAAGTTCAATTCCTGGCATCCCATATGGTCCCCAGAGCACCACCAGGAGTAATTCCTGAGTGCAGAGCCAGGAGTAACCCCTGAGCACCGCCAGGTATGACCCAAAATCAAACAAAAATTCATGGCATGTTTTTGCAAGACTTATTAAAATTCACCCAGTTCCCAAGTTTCGCCATACTGCCAAAAAGACGCAAAAACTATTCTTGCTTTCAAAGTTATAAAATAGTCATATCATTTACTTCTGTATCATGTGTAAATGAGAAATATATAGCTGATTTTTCTATTGCCAAAAAGTAACTCGAACATCCCTACTGTATTTGGGTCCAAGTCATACAATTTCAACATACCCATTAGATTTTAAACATATAGTGAGTCTTAAAACAGTAAAAATAAATACACCAGACCACCAAGAATCATTATTAAGGAATGAGTGTATACTCAACGAGACCACAAAACATTTTCTTTCTCAAACTTTTTTAGAATCCTAACCCCACCAAAAGGGGAATAAGTTTGGTAATTCCAAGACTAATTATCAACATTTTCATACTTTTGCTTACCAAAGCCTCCAAAGTCCATTAATCTCATGTAATCTCCGAAATAACCTAGTGTAAATTACTCTTAATTTACAGTTAAAGAAGCTAAATTGTCTAGTGGAACAAAGCAAGTGGGTGGGGTACTCCAAAATCTTTTCACTGTCATGGCACAGTCTCTTTCCAGTAATTAACATTCCAAGGAGGAACTTCTTGAAGGATTAACTTTGACTCGTGAAAACCTCCCCAACATATACCGGAAGCTAGGAGAGAGAGGGACCCTCTCTCATACTGGTCATTAAAAAAGTATTAAATAACGAGTATTAGTATGCATTAATACTATTATCCAGGTACTGCACTAAGAATATTACACGACCGTTTTTCCTCAATGAAAACCCAACAGTGGAGGCCGGAGTAATAGTACAGAGGGTAGGGCGTTTGCCTTGCACGCTGCCGACCTGGGTTCGATCCCCAGCACCCCACAGGGTCTCCCAAGCACCGCCAGGGGTAATTTAATTACTGAGCGCACAGCCAGGAGTAACCACTGAGCATCAATGGGTGGGACCCAAAAAGGGGAAAGAAAAAAAAATAGAAAACCCAACCGTAAATTTACTAGGAGGAGCCGATTACAACAACCCTCCTAGAGATGAAGAGGCGGGGAAAAAAACCCACCAAGGTTTGTTAAATGCAAGTTCCATCAGCAGAACAGTACTAACATTATAAAGTCGACTCTGTAGAAACGTCCTTCTGGCCAAGAATCCTTCCAGGAGCAAAGCCGCCACGGCTCAAGCCCAACTCTTTCTCGCACAGCACAGGGCTGTCAACTCCTAAACGGGGCTTCAGCGCAGGGCAAGTCTACTGGCTCCCGTCCCCCCTCGGGGCTCGGCACCACGCTTGCCCAGGCTTTATTTCCAGGGCAACATCGACCCTTACGAAGTCATCTTCCTACTCCCAGATCTAGTGGGTTTCTTTGTGTGTGTGTGTATGCGCGCGCGCGCGCGTTTGTGTGCCTTTTTATTATTATTATTATTTTAAATACATCGATGTTCAAAAGTAACGCGGCGCGGCACGGCCCCGCGGCGGGGGGGGGGGGGGGGGGGGGGGCGGGCGGCTGCGGCGAATGAATGGAGGCGGCCCGGGCCGGCAGACTCCGGGCCTCCGCGGGCGGACGGCGGCGGGACCACAATGCCCATCGCGACGTGGGACGCGCGCCCCGGCCGGCCGCGGGAGGCTGCGAACCGGTGGCCCTCCGCCGAGGCCGCGCCGCAGCCGGACCGGAGCGGAAGGGCGAAGAAATCCGTTGGCGGCCGGCACCCCGCGGAGGGGGGGAGGGGGGCAGGGGGAGGGGAAAAAAAAAGTCGGGATGACGGCAAGCGGCTTCCAGGCGGAGCCTTGGGCCGAGGCCCAGCCAAAAAAAATAAATAAATAAAATCGACCCGGCACCGGGATTCGAAAGGGGCCCACCGAGGGAAAAGAGCTCCCCCGAGGGGGCCCAACCGATGGTGGGGGAGGGGCATACACGGAGCGCCCACCCACCCACCCCGCGATCCAGAGATCCACCGGGAGGCTAAACCGCGGGAAGGAACGGAAAAGTGGGCGACAATGCACGGAGGGAAGCGCCGGCACGGGAAAAGGTCCGGCCCCCGGCGGCTCCCGCCGGGCCCAGGGGCTTCGGGAGGGCCCTGAGCCGAGTGGAAGAAATCGCCGCCGCGTGCGGGCCCCCTCCCCCACCCGCCCCCCACCCTACCCCACCCCGGCCCTTCGGAGCGGCCGCCCCGGCTTTCCCTCCGCCCCGCAGCTTCAGGGGACCCGGTTTTCCGGTTTCCCCACGCGTTCTAGAGGCGTGAACTCACCCGCCGCTGTGGAAACAAACGGCCCTGTCTTCACGGCCTCCTAGGCTTCCAGGTGACGAGCGGGCTCCACCGGCCCAAGGTTCCTGCGCGCCGCTCGCCCGGGAGACTGGTTTCCGCGAAGCGCCTACTCCCACAGGCCGCAAACACAGCCGCGCTGCGCGGGGAGCTCCTGGAGGTCTTCCTCTTGCCCGGCGTGCACTGCGGCCGGCCGGGGCCGACCATAGAGCGGGGCGCGGCTAGAGCGCCCTCACGGTTGGCTCTGAATCACCGCGCCGCGGCGAGGAACCATAGAGAGAAGGGCCTCCTGGCTAGAGAGGCTGGAGGCGCAAGTGACCGCCCACCCTGCCATTTTTGATTGGAGCCGAACGAAATCTTATGACTTACGCGCCGCCATCTTGAGGTCAAGGTTCCGGCTCTAGGTATGGCGCGAGGGCGGCTAGAAGGTTTCTCTCTCGGGCTGGTTTTGTGTCCGCGATTAGAATCCGGCCCTGAGGTGAACTCGGATCGGGTGGACTGGGAACCCGGCTCTCCTCCGCAACTTTTCTGCAGCAGCCTGAAGCGCCGATCTTTTCCGACAAAACAGTCGCTCTCAACAGCAGGACCCGCTTCTAACTTGCAAAGCCGGGGTAGTAGGTTCTAAATGTGCAGACACACATGCACAAAGCTTACGCGCTGAACAATGGCTACAAGGTGTTTGCAATATCTAAAAATGTGTAAAGACATTTGACACATTTCATTCTGTAAATAGGATTTTTTTCCGAAGCTCACTTTTTAGGCTAAATGAAATAAAACCAGTTACGATAGATTGAATTGTTTTGAATATGGAAATTAGTGCCAAATATCTTGACAGGCTTTTGTTTCCTAATTGCTTGTTTCTTAGAAAAGGCTTATAATTTTATTCCATATAAAGTTACTAACTCCCTGAGTGATGTACTGTGTTTGAGTGTAGAGATGATGGGGTCCGGACTGGGCACTTTCCTTGTAGGTGGCTGACCTGTGATAGATTCCTGGCACCTCGTATGATCCTTTAAGAACCACCAGGAATAATTCCTGAGTACTCAGCTACCAATAACCCCTGAATATCACTGGTTGTAGCCCCAAAATCAAAACACAACAGCAACAAAAATCAAACCCAGGCCTCCAGCACACAAAGTGAGGAGGATTCTAATACTGAGCCGTATCCATTGCCTAAACATTAGCTTCATTTATAAATCAGAAATTCCGGCGCTGGAGCAATAGCATAGCGGTTAGGGGGTTTGCCTTGCACAGGGCAACCGGGTTCGATTCCCAGCATCCCATATGGTCTCTTGAGCACTGCCAGTAGTAATTCCTGAGCGCAAAGCCAGGAGTAACCCCTGAGCATGACCAGGTGTGACCCAAAAACAAAATAAATAAATCAGAAGTTCCTTTTGGTACCGGGGTATTACTCAAGGATAGAGTACTTGCCTTGCTCCATGAGGCCCTGAGTTCCAAATGCCCTACTCTGTGTACTATCTGTTTAGTCCCTGCTTTTTTTTTTTTTTTTTGGCTTTTTGGGTCACACCCAGCGATGCACTCAGGAATCACTCCTGGCGGTGCTCAGGCGACCATATGGGATGCTGGGCATCGAACCCGGGTCAGCCGTGTGCAAAGCAAACGCCCTACCCGCTGTGCTATTGCTCCAGTCCCCCTACTTTTTATTTTTTAAGGATCAATCACAGCAGTTCTGAGGGCAATGCAGTGACAGGGATAAAACTCAGGGCCTTGCATTTGCTAGACCTCTGCTCCACCAATTAAGCTACTCTTACAGACCTAGAACATTTGATCCCTTAGTAGCAAGCCATTAGGAGGATTCTGATTCAGGTGACTGCCAAGTCAGTTGTTACTTTGTATTTATTTATTTTCTCCTGGAGCACTTCTAGTGGGTCTAGTGGTGGTTTAGTGCTAGAGCTACTCAGAGCTTTGTGACTGAAACCTCTGTGCTCACAGGAGTCGGGAATGGCCACCCTCCCCCCCATTTCCCTGTGTGTCTTGGTGCCTGGCAGTCGTGCCCATGAACTGCCTCTGGGCATCACATAAACTCATAAACTCCAGAGATTAATAAATAAATCTGGGAAGAGAGCAACACACTCTAAAGATGCCTCCAGATCCCCCAAATCACCATCCAGTGAAAAGTTTAACTCCAGTTCTAGCACCGTATTTAAAGTTTTAGAATTCCTGCAGAATTTTAGAATTCTATAAGCTTTTGTGGCTGTGTGGCATCTCATACTTTATGCCACTGATATACCAACAGTAGCATGCCTCATTGGATAGGGTATAAAGGTTTCAAGGTGAAATACAATTATTTTCACACACTTTTTTTTTTAATCATTTTTAGTAGATTATTCGTAACACTGGTAGCCCTGTAGCACTGTCCTCCCTTTGTTCATCAATTTGCTCCAGCCCAGCGGGTAGGGCATTTGTTTTGCAAGCGGCCGACCCGGGTTCAATTTCTCCATCCTTCTCAGAGAGCCGGGTAAGCTACTGAGAGTGTCCCATCCGCAAATCCCGGTGGCGTAATTGATATGCCAAAAACAATAACAAGAAGTCTCACAATGGAGATGTTACTGGTGCTTGCTGGAGCAAATCGATGAACAACAGGAGGTCAGTGCTACAGGACAGTGCTAATTTATAACAAGCAACACAAAATAAATTATTTAGTACCTGCCTTTGGGGCAGGCTTGGGTGGTGATGGGAAAATTTGAAATAATGGTGGTGGGAAGGTGTAGTGGTGATATGATTGCTGTTGAAATATTGAATATAATAAATTATTGTGAAGGACATTAGAAAAATAATTTTTTTTAAAGTTACCCAGAATTACCCAGAAGACTCAAGGATCACCAGCAGCATAGGACAGGGAATCATATACTGTTGGAAATCAAACTCCAGCCTTGTACATTAGGGCCTTAGTCAGGCATGTGCCCCTGACACCTGAGCCATTTTGTGTGTGTGTGTGTGTGTGTGTGTGTGTGTGTGTGTAGTTATAGTTTTTTTGTTATTGAGACCGTAAAACTGCAGCATAAATTTCACAGGTATACAAGGCTGATTTATCATTTTAGGTTGAATTAACTAGAAGATATTGTCAAATCTGTCGCAAAAGATAATTTCCAGGGCCAGAGAGATAGTACAAGAATTGCATGACTGACCCTAGTTTATTCCTCCATATTGCATATGGTTTCCAGAGTATTGCCAGGAGTGAGTCTTGAGCACAGATCGAGGAATGAGGCCTGAGCACTACTGAGTGTGTCTCAGAAACTAAACAAACAAAACAGAAAAAAGAGTACTTTCCCAAACTACTCAGTGTTTAGTCTTTTTTTTTTTTTTTTTTTTTTTTTTAGTTTGGAGGCCATACCAAGAGGTACTCAGGGGTTACTCCTGGCTCTGCATCACTCCTGGCAGTGCTCAGGGGACTATGTGTGATGCTGAGGATCAAATCCAGGTTGGCCACATGCACAGCAAGGGCCCTACCCACTGTATTATCTCTTAGACCCCCACTATTCAGTGTTTTATGCTATAATTGAAACAGTTCTCAGTTCAGCTCTTCCAACCATTTGCAAATGTAAAAAGCATTCTTAGCTTTCAGGCTTTACAAAAGCAGGAAGCATGTAGTTTTATACAGATAAAAAAGAGCTCAGGTTCTTTCCTGTTCTAAACTACTATATTTAGTAAATATAAATCAGTCACCCCAAAATTCATCTAAAAATGTATACACAGGATATACATTTTTAGATGAATTTCTGGGGTGAAATTCATTTAAATATACACTGGTGAAGGGATGGGTGTTGGAACATTGTATGACTGCAACCCAATAGGAACAACTTTGTAACTGTATCTCATGGTGATTCAATTAAAAAATAAATTAATTAACCAAAAAAATTGTAACTGTTATCCTGCAACCATTTCCTAGAACCTGTTTCCTATCTCCCAAGCTGTGATCTAAACAATATGAAAAGTTGTGATTTTGTTTGTTTTGTTTTTGGACCACATCTGGCGATGCTCAGGGTTTACTCTTGACTTTGCACTCAGTAATTACTACTGGTAGTGCTCAGGGATATATATATATGATGCCTGGGATCGAACCCAGGTCAACCGTGTGCAAGGAAAATGCCCTACCTTCTATACTATCTCTCAATCCTCAAAATTTGTCATTTTTTGTGTTTCAACAGATATTTGGACATTTTCTTGATATCCCCCCAGGAATTAATTTTCTTTTATTTATTTTTTTTTTTTGAGCCACATTCGGCTGTGCTCAGGCTTTACTCCCAGCTCTGCACTCAGGGGTCGTATCTGCTGAGCTCAGGGTGCCAGTGATTGAACCTGGGTCGGCCCCATATAAGGCAAATACCCTACCCACTGTACTATCACTCTAGTTCCAGAATTATTTTTTTAATCAACAGATCTTATTCACATAATATTTACAACAATTTTAATATTATTGTTTTATGATTATAATGCTACTACACCACACCCGTCACTGTTCCTAGGTTCCTTCTCCCCAAATCACCTATTGACAGCCTTTGTTCTGTTGGTTACTGCAGGATTTGTTCTAACTGGTCATAGTCTACTGCCTTGCTTTGTTTTTCATGCTGTACATTTGGGCTGGAGCGATAGCACAGTGGGTAAGGCGTTTGCCTTGCACGTGGCCAACCCGGGTTTGATTCCTCCCCTCTCGGAGAGCCCGGCAAGCTACCAAGAGTACCTTACCCGCACAGCAGCCTGGCAAGCTCCCTGTGACGTCTTCGATATGCCAAAAACAGTAACAACAAGTCTCACAATTTGGTTTTGGTTTTTTTTTTTTTTTTTTTTTTTTTGCTTTTTGGGTCACACCCGGCGATGCTAGGGGTTACTCCTGGCTCTGCACTCAGGAATGACTTCTGGCGGTGCCCGGGGGACCATATGGGATGCTGGGAATCGAACCTGGGTCGGCCGCATGCAAGGCAAACGTCCTACCCGCTGTGCTATCACTCCAGCCCCTCACAATTTGTTTTGAGACATTACTGTGCCCACTTGAACAAATCGATGAACAATGGGAGGACAGTGCTACTGTACATTTGTGTAAGATGATCCAGCATTCATCTTCTTCTTTCTGACTCACTTTACTTAATATGACACTTTCCGGTTCAATCCAGGCTATTCCAAAATGCAAGATTTGGGGGTCAGAGCAATAATACA